GAGAGAGAGAGAGAGAGAGAGAGAGAAAGAGAGAGAGAGAAAGAAAGGGAGACCATGTTCTTTGGTCAGGGTTAGATTAGCATCATTTAGAAGAATATTTCCTGCCAGGTGAACAGGTGATGTGTCCCCACATTGACTGTTTCTTTCTGTCTGTCTGTCTCACAGTACAGCCAGTAAGGAATCACTGGAAAGTTGTCTACAGCAGCTGAAATGCCATTTCACCTGGAACTTGATAGCAGAAGACGAGTCCTTGGATGAGTTTGAAGACAGGGTGTTTAACAAGGATGAGTTTCAGAACAGTGAGCACAAAGCCACCATGTGCAATATCCTGGCCTATGTAAAGCACTGCAGGGGTCTAAATGAAGCAGCTCTGAAATGCTTAGGGGAAGCTGAAGACTTCATCCAGCAACAGCATCCTGACCAAGTAGAAATCAAAAGTCTGGTCACCTGGGGAAACTACGCTTGGGTCTACTATCACATGGGCCAGCTCTCAAAAGCTCAGGCTTATCTGGACAAGGTGAAACAGGTCTGCAAGAAGTTTTCCAGTCCCTACAGGATTGAGAGTCCTGCGCTTGACTGTGAGGAAGGCTGGGCCCGATTAAAGTGTACGAAGAACCAAAACGAGAGAGTAAAGGTGTGTTTTGAGAAGGCTCTGGAAAAGGACCCAAAAAACCCAGAATTCGCCTCTGGATGGGCCATTGCAAACTACCGTCTAGATGACTGGCCAGCATCGAATAACTATATTGACTCTCTGAAGCAAGCCGTTAATCTGTCTCCTGACAACACTTATGTTAAAGTCCTCTTGGCACTGACGCTTGAGGTGATGCATGAAAAACAAGCAAAGGAGCTGGTTGAAGAAGCCTTAAAGAAAGACCCAATAGCAATAGATACACTGCGCAGTGCAGCCAGATTTTATTACAAGGTCCATGACGCAGACAGAGCTATACAGTTGCTTAGAAAGGCTTTGGAATCCCTCCCAAACAACGCTTATGTACATTATTATATTGGGTGCTGTTATAGGTCAAAAGTCCAACAAATGTTGAACACAAGGGCAACTGCATTTAATGGAGATAGGAGGAAGATAGAGGAACTAATACAACTGGCACTGAATCACTTACGGAAAGCAGAGGAAATCAAGGAGATGATCGAAAATTCCTGTAGCTTTCTTGCTGATCTTTATGCCAAAGCAAAGCAGTTTGAAGAAGCTGATTATTACTTCCGGAAAGAATTCAACAAGGACCTCCCTCCTTTCCCTAAACAGTTACTCCACCTACGGTATGGCAACTTTCAGCTTTTTCAAATGAACTGTGAAGCCAAGGCTGTCTACCATTTTATGGAGGGTGTGAAAATAAAGCAGAAAACAAAGCCAAAAGAAAAGATGAAAGACAAACTTCAAAGAATTGCCCGATGGCGGCTTTCTAAAGATGAATCTGATTCTGAGGCCTTGCGCATCTTGGCATTTCTTCGGGAGAATGGAGAGGGTCAGCAAGCTGATAAAGACCCTGAGGGAGAAGTGAACTCTGCAAACCAGGTCACTTCAGCATCTTTGGATGAAGCAAGTGC